GGCAGGCAGCAGCTGCCAAAGTCGGGTGGTGATACCTTTAAGCCTTGGAAACACCAATTAAACTCCAGCTCTGCCTGGGGTAGGTGCATCTCTGTTTGCAAAAACAAATGTGCTTTCACTCTTTGTCGTTAAGTGCATAAATCAGGGCGAATGAGTTTTTCGAGAAAGAAAAAAATCCCTCCTTGATTTCCTTGATTCTTTCCTGTTATCCAAAGCTTTATTTTTAACTACAACTTTTTGAACATTTATCAAATCAAATCTGCCACATTACCTCTGATAAGGTTAAAAAAAAACCCCATTATTCAGTAGTCAAAAAGCATTTATTAAGTACCTGCTGTGTGCTAGACACTGCTGTGGTGAGGGAACAGTCCCTGCCCTTGAGGAGCTCTTAATTTAACCGGGGAGACAACATTCAAACAAGTATGTAAAAACAAGCCATACACAGAGTAACCAGAACCTAATCACCAGAGGGAAGGCCCTAGAATTCAGAGAAACTGGGAAAGGCTTCCTGTAGAAGGAGGGATTAAGAGATCACTTCTCTCTGTGACAGTGAACGCTGGACAGAAACTCTTCTTCCACTGATAACTCTCTTTCTTGTATTTGTCTTTCCTTTCAAATGTATGTATGGTAAGATATAGTGGAAAGAGCTACATTCCTGTGAGGGGTTATGAGATCTTAGAGTCACAGATCCAGAGGGAAAGTAGAGGTCATCTAATCCAGATTGCTCATTTTAGAGACGAAAAACAAGGAAGCCTCAGAGAGACCTGAATATTGGACTCTTCTCTCCCATGAACTGGAGGCTACAATCTTTCCCATCTATAGAAAAAAAGAATTGGACTTAATGGTCTGTTCCTTTCAGCTATAAAATTCTATCTACTCGAGGTTAAAATGGAATTTTGATGTATAAGATTTATGAAACCATCAATAGATCTTCAATAGAGTTTCTCCTTATAGAGTTATCATTTTTTTTTTCCAAAGGCAAATAGTCAATAAACATCTGTTAATTGTCTACTGTGGGCCAGGCACCTCACTGACTTTATGCAAAAATATATACTCATCTCATTTCACACTGTAACTCTTTTTCCTTTCTGTCAAGAGGAGGAGAGAATGGGGTCATTGTCAGTCCTCCGGAATCATGGATGGCCATTGGATTGATCATAGTTCTTCTACCTTCCAAAGCTGTCTATCTTTACAGGGTGGCTGTTGTATAAATTGTTCTCCTGGTTCTGTTCATTTTGTTCCTTTTCAGTTTATGTTTTTTAAATTGTTCATTTTTTATAACATCAATGTTATCATATAAATTATTCTTCTGGCTCTGCTAACTTCTCCCTGACTCAAAAGTCATCAGCATTTCGATATAACATCAATAAAACCCAGCAGGAAGAGAGAGGAAGAGAAATACTATTTAACATAACTACAAAATACATAAAATACTTGGGAGTCTGCCTACCAAGACACAAATAAAACCTATGTAAATACAACTATAAACAACTCTTACCAGAAATAAACACACCTAAATAATTGGTAAAATCTTAGTTGCTCATGGGTAGGCTGAATCAATATCATAAAAATGACAATCCTCTCTAAACTAATTTGCTTATTCTATACCATCCCAATCCAACTATCAAAAGATTACAGAACTAGAACAAATAAGAATGAAATTCATGTAGAGACAGAAAAGATCAAGAATCTCGTGGGAAATACTGAAAAGAAGTGGTAATGAAGGGAGTGAGCAGGCTGGAGCTCAATTGACTACAAAGCAGTGATTCTCAAAGCCATTTAGTGCTAGTTAAAAAACAGAGATCAATCGGTGGAACAGACTAGGTATACAACACACAGAAGCAAAGGAATCTGGAACCCTGGTGGTGTCCAGTAGGCACAAAGAGCCCAGCTACTGGGATAAAGATCTTAGAAAAACTCCTGGAAAATTGGACAGCAGGATGGGGGAAATTAGATTTAGATCAACTCTTCAAATAGACCCTGGAAATTATCTAGTCTACCGTCTTCATTTTACAAGTGAGGAACTTAATGTCTTTTGCTTGTTTTGTCTAATTTTTATACTGTTACATGTACATGACATCTCCCTTAATAGAATGCACACCCCTTGAGAGCAAAGACTGTCTCACTTCTGACTTTGTAGTAAAAGCTTGTTGATTGATGTGGTTGATTGGTCAAGGGAAAGGGTGCAGAAGGAGGTGAAAGGATTTCTTCAAGATTGTCTAGTTAGTTAGGGCAGCACTGGGACTACAACTGAGGTCTACCCCACTCAGTGATATTTCCTCAGCACTGTACCATTTCTCATAAAGAGTTCATCTCCTAACATGGCTCCAATTGCCATGGCTGGGATGGCGATCTGTGCTCCATCTATGCTCCAGCTCAGACCTTACATGCTGCTTATCTAACTAACGTGCTGTAACCTAGAAATCACAGAATTCCCAAATTGGAAGAGGCTTCAGTGGCCATCTAGTGCACCACCACCTGAGCAAGGATCTCCTCTACAACAAAACCAAGTATTCATCCTGGCAGTGGGAGGAAGCCTAGCAGAGCCATAACTAGCACTTGTAGTGCCTGGGGGGCAGGTGGATTCAGTTGATGAGAGACGGCTTCAGCCCAAGGCTGGGGAAAGGAGGAAAGAACGGACCTTGGGACATGGGTGAGAAGAGGGTAGGGCTGAGTGAGTTACAAAGGACAGGAAGAGCACCATCTTGCTAAGCAAGTGTTAAGACCAGTTGTTAATGCTTCAGAAGCCACATTCATTCTCCCCAAGCTCTACTTTCTGGTGCCCAGGAACAAAGTTTGAGTGTAATCTCCCACCTCTCTTTGCAGCCCCTACTACTTCTGGGGAACTCTCATTGTGAGGAAGGCTTTCTTGCCATCAAGTCTGCATGTTCCCCTTTGAAATTTATTCCTCCTAGAGCAGGAGTTCTTAGTCTGGGGTCCATAGATAGATTCGGCAGCTGCATGTAAAAATTACACCTTTGTTTTCACTAACTTCTCATTGAAATTTAGCATTTCCTTCAATTATTCAAAAAGATGACTCTGAGATGGGGTTCCCTGAGTTCTCTAGATTTCCAAAGGGATCCATGATACAAATAAGATTAAAAATCTCTGCTCAAGAACCAAACAGAACAAATCTAATCACTTTTTTCACAAGGTAGTCCTTCAAATATTTCATGTTAGTTATCAAATAAGATTATATATTTGCAAACTTTCAAAAGATATATATATATATATATACACACATATATATGATCCTTCATATAAAATAATTTTTTGTCTAGATTTATGATTTCTTTGGCATAGGGAGTTCTCGGTATATAAAAATCAAAGATTTAGCATGAGAAGATTTATTAGGGACTGAGTCCAATTTCCTCATTTTATAGATGAGAAAACTGAGGCAGAGAGAGGTTAAGGACTTGTCCAGGTTGACACAGTTAGTAATTATCAGAGACAGGATTTGAATATAGGTCTTCCTAACTCTTAAGTCTCATCTACTACCCATTGTACCATCTGTGAGCCTAACTTCCTGGAGCAGACTTGAAGCCAGGTCTTTCTGACAACAAAGTTGGCCCTCTAACCACCAGGTCATGCTGCCTCTCAATCTGGGTGTGAACATGGGGGAGAGGGAAGGGAACAATGGTCCGTCCTGGGGAGTTGAGTGGTGTAGGAGGAACTCCTGGTGATGAACTCCACATACCAGCACAGACCAGCAATCTTCTGGTAGCCGGCAGGTTTGACTCAGGACGTGGGAAGATTCTATGACATGCCCAGAGTTGGGGTGTGTGAGAGAAGACATGGACTCAGGTCTGAGATCAGTGCTCTCTCCCCTCCAGCTTTCCGCTGCCTCTGCCTTTCCTCTCAAGCTTGACAAGAGATGGTCTGGGACCAGTGCTGAAGAGGCAGCCAAGGTCCTCCCTTTGCACATGTACTCCTTGTGACAGTGGGTGGATTCCATTAAAACATTACTATTTAACCATAAGCCCATGAGGTGATGGACCCAAGACACAGAACATGGTCAATGTGGGAATTTGCTTTTCTTGTTTATGTGTATTTGTTACAAAGGTTTTCTTTTAATTGGTCAGCTGGGTCATGGGAGGGAGGAAGGAGAGAAAATAAATGCTTGTTAATTAATAACAAATTTAACCAGAAGTGAATTTCTTACCACCTTCTTACCTTCAGCAGGGCACAGAAAGAATAGAATTTGTGCATTGTGATGCTCAGTCATTCTCAAAGATAATTTAGATCCTGACCATTGTGTTAACCCTTTCAGACGACTAGGCCAAAATGGCCTAGTCACTGAGCACTACGGAGTAACTTAGGGCCAGTAAAACCTCAATTTTTCTTGAAAGTTATCTATTCCTCTTTCATAAGCACCTCCTTTTCACAGCTAGAGTGGAGAGTCTTGGGTTTTTGTGCCCCATATCCAGAGAATGGGGCAGCTAGGTGATGCAGTGGATAGAGTGAAAGGCCTGGAGTAGGTAAGACCTGAGTTCAAATCTGTCCTCAGACACTTACTAGCTGTGTGACCCTGGGCAAGTCACTTAACCCTGTTTGCCTCAGTTTGTTCATCCATAAAATGAGCTAGAGAAGGAAATGGCAAACCACTTCAGTATGTTTGCTAAAGATACTAGGGTCACAAAGAGTCAGACATGGCTGGAAAACAACTGGAAAACAACAGCATCATCCACACAATGACTTTTAACCATGGAATCCTGTCCTTTTAGGTCAATCCACGTATCTTCCATCCTGTGTCCCAAACCCGTTCAGTGCCTGTCACACAGTAGGTACTTCTTAACTGGTACACTTAACACAGAAAGTGTCTTTCCTCATCATCAACTTATAATGACCAGTCAGGCCAGACAAGTCAGCATTGGTCTTAGTCATTTGATTGGCTGCAGATAAGACAGAACCACTTTAAACAAAGGGATTCCAGAGCCCAAGGGTGCTGGACCATCCGAACACAACTTATGGCGCACTGCTACTCATCGTGAGGCACTTACCGTCATGATGAGCCCCTTCTCCTGGAAATATTTGATCAAGGGCGAGGCATTCTGCTTGAAATTGGCAAGCCTTCGCTGGGTGGCTTTCACGTTGTCGTCAGGCCTGCCCTGCTGCTCCGCCCTCTTCAGCAGTCTCTCCTTGAGCCGCTGGCTAGTGCAAGCCAGGAACACGACCAAGTCTGGGGGGCAGATCTGTGGAGAGGGGCACCAACAGCAGGTCTTAGTCAAGCCAGTGTGCACCAATCGGGGCTGCTTAGAGGGTTTCATCTGGGAAACACTTTGAATTCTCAAGAACTCACAGCTTCTCAGTTGAGCTTCCAGGCCGATTCAATAGCAGACACTTATTAAACATCTACTGAACGCAGAACACTCAGCATGTATCAGGGCACAGAGTTTAGATAAGAAATGGCCTTCCAGAATCCACTGATCAACAAACATTTATTAAGCACTTACTATGTACCAGGCACTGCGCTATGCAATAGGGAAACAGCATGTGTTCGGGCAAATCAGTCAATACTCAAGTTAATAAGCATGTATCAAGTGCCTACTGTGTGCAGATGCTATAACTCTAAGTAGAAGTCAATAAAAAGTGATTTTTGATTGAAGGGATCAGGGAAGGCCCCATGTAGGAGGAGGCATTTGAGTTGAGTTTTGAAAGAAGCCAGGAATTCTAAATGAGGAGGGAATGCATCCCAGGCATAGGGGGCAGCCAGTGCAAAAGCACCAGGGTGAGAGAGAATGCTATTTGTCAGTCGCTCAACAAACATTTATTGAGTGCTTACTGTGTATTAGGAATTTCTGTATATTTCTATATATATATATATATATATATGTATACATACATACATATATATTTATATATGTGTTTATATATATATATTTATACCAACAAAACCCAACAGGAAGAGATAGAAAAATTCCACTTAAAATAACTACAAAATGTATTAAATATTTAGAAGTCTACTTATCAAGAAACATAGAACTGTATGAATACAACTACAAAACACTCTTTGAGGTAATATAGACATAAATAATTGCAGAAATATTAATTGCTCATGGATGGGCTGAACCAACATAGTAAACAATTCAATACTACCTAACTTTATTTAATTCCATACCAATCAAGGTACTGGAAGATTACTGTAGAGCTAAAAAAAAAAAAAAGGTAATAAAATTCATCAGGAAGAACAAATGATCAAGAATCTCAAAGAAATAATGAAAAAAGTGGGAAGGAAAGGGGCCTGATGGTACCAGATGTCAAACTATGCTACAATGCAGTAATTGTCTAAATAATTTAGTGCCGGTTAAAAAATAGAGATTGATGAGTAGAACACATTAGCGATACAATACATAGAAGCAAACAAACCTAGAAGCCTAGTGTTTGAAAAACTCAAAGACTCAAGTTACTGGGGGTAAAAACTCACTATTCAGCAAAAACTGCTGGGAAAACTGGAAAGCAATCTGGCAGAAATTACATTTTGGTCAATATCTTATATCATGTGCCAAGATTGACTCCACGTATATGTATGACTTAGACATTGAAAGGTCACATCCTCAATAAATTACAGGAATAATGAAGAAATTCACTTCTGGATCTATCGGTAGAGAAAGAGTCTAAGGCTAAATAAGGGATAGAGAGAATCACAGAAGACAAAATGGACAATTTTGAGCACATAAAGTTAAAAAGCTTTTGAATGAGCAAAAGCAAAGTAGCTAAAATTAGAAGGGAAACAGTTAATTGGGAAAAATTCTCTGCTCTTTGGGAAAGGTCTCATTTTCAAGATATGTAAAGAATCGATTCAAATTTATAAGAATAAGAACTATTCTGCATTTGACAAATGATCAAAGAATACAGACAGGGAGTTGACAAAAGAAGAAATCTAAGCTATCAGCGGTTATGTGAACAAAAACATTCCAAATAATTAATCTTTAGAAAGTTGCAAATAAAAACAATTTTGGGTGTCCACCATCTATCATTGGGTTGACAGCAATGAGAAAAGGGGAAATGACAAATGTTGGAGTGACTGTGGGAAAATAAAGACATCAATACATCGTTGATAGAGATGTGAATTGATCCAGCCATTCTGGAAAGCCATTTGGAACAATGTCCCCAAAGTCACTAAAAAAAGTCAAATGTACAAAAATATTCACAGCAGCTTTTCATAGCAAAGCCAAACCAGAGACTAAGAGGGTGCCCATCTATGGGAGAAGGGCTAATCAAATCATGGTATATGAAAGTAATGGAAAGTTATTATGCCATAAGAAACGATGAAATGGGCAGTCTCAGAGGAAACTAAGAAAGCCTGTATAGGTTGAGGCAGAACTAGGAGGACAAGTCATACAATAACATGATGAAGAAAAACAGCTTTGAACGAGAAAACAATAGTCTGGGAGACTGAAGATGAAACATGGTGCCCCTCTCCGGCCAAAGAGGTGGATGACTCAGTGTACGAGATACATAGTTTGGGGCATGACCATTGGGAGAATAGGTTTTGCGTAATTATGCATATTTGTTACAAGGCTTTTGAAAAAGGCTTGTGAATTGAAAAAAAGTTAAATTAAAAAAAGAAATGCATGGTCTTAGAGAGTTTCCTGGGGCACAGAGAGCACATCCTAATCAGGATGTAAAACTGGATCCTCCTGTCCAGCTTTCTATCCATTAAACTACTTCTCACCTTTCACATAGTAGGTTCTAATAAACATTGAATTTAAATAGCTAATAGCATGGAGCTTCTGAAAAAGGTTTACCAAGGGCTTTACTTAGATTATCCCATTTGATCTTCTCAATAATCCTGGGAGCTAGGTGTTATAATCATCTCCATTTTACAGATGAAGAAACTGAGGCAGACAGGTGAAGTGACTTGCCCAGGGTCACACAGTTGAGGCCACATTTGAACTCAGGTTTTCCTGACTCTAGGTCCAGCATCTACACTCTTCCCCACCTGGCTGCTATAAGATAAATAGCTTCCGAACTAAAACATACAGGGAGCAGTAGTGAGCCACATGGAATAGCATTCTTATGCTTATAATGAGCATTTTGGACAATCAAACAACTTGGTATTTTAAAAAATTACGTTGCTCTTTGTGACGATCGGAATTCCTTTTTCTCTGCCTCAGTGTAAGGCAGGGGTTCCTAACCTTTCTCTGTGCCACAGACCCCACTTTGTAGATGGGTGGTCTTGCCCAGGTATGGATTGTACTAAATCACTTTGGCTTCTGAGGTTACATTCTGTCCCCCAGGTTCAGGACCTTGGAGTCCTTCTTGACTCTCCATCAAACTGGATCCTTTGCCAAGTCTGCCCTCTCTCTTCAGGGACCTGGCCGGGAATCCTAATTTGGAAGTCATCTCCTCTCAGCTGAACCAGGTAGCAGAACCAGACTGCGGGGTGGGGAGCGATGGAAGGAAGGATGGTTGTGGCATCTACCACACCTGAGTTCTAATCCTAATCTCTGGTACTTTGGGCAATAATAATAGCAGCCATAATGAGCAATAGCATTTATATGGAACTTTAGGGTTTGCAAAGGGCTCTGCATCTTTTATCTCACTTCTCTGCACATGTTTTCTCATCTGTTAAATGAGGACATTGATGATGTCTGTGGTCCCATTGCCTTGAAATGGAGGCTCCTACCATCCCAATGAGTCTCTCTGCTTAGGTTTTCTCTCCCTCTCCCAATCAGACCTTATCAAAACTTCCCCAATAGTTTGCCCAAGGCATAGGTTTGCCTTGCACACAGGACAAGCTGTTTGCATGTCCAAAAGCCTGCTCCCTTTTGCCTCCAGGATGAAATGCAAACCCCTCTTTCCAACTAGAGGACCCTCTGTGGTCTGCCTCAAACCTACTGTCCCATCCTTATCTCACGTTCCCCCTCTTCCCACTCTACATGCCTTTGGACATTTGCAAAAACTGTCTTTGAATTTCTAGAATGAATGCAGCCCTCATTTTCCCTTGTCAGAACCCCTGTTTCTTCTCATCTCCACTGGGTGGTTCCAAAGCCTTTCCTGATTTCCACAGGTGTAATAGTTCTCACCATCTTCCCCATTACCTTGCAGGTGTATTCTTAACCTGCTGCAGGTAAGCTCTTTACAATCAGGACCTACTTCACATCCCCAGTAGCTAGCACATAGTGGGGGGGTCACTCAATGTTTGCTGAATTGTAGAAGGAGAGGTAATTATGGAGTGATTCTGACCAGGTCTGGGAATACATGTATTTAATGTAGCCTGAGACTGCCATTCATTTCTATACATAAATTCTCTCTGTGTAGATCTCTCTCTCTCTGTCTCTCTCTCTCTCCTCTCTTTCTCTCTAATCTATGTATCTATATATACATTCTATATAAGTGAATTTCTAAATATAATTTTTAGCAGTTTTTTTACATTGCTTTCTTTATCTTTAATGAAAGCAATTAAATTCTGAACATTAAAATTGTATTTTCATTGTGCTCCAAAATTAAACATTTGCTTTCCACCTCACTGATAAAAGCAACGGGGCTTCTCACCAATGCTTCTGCAGCTCCTTGTCACAAGGAGATTGATCATGGGCATTTTTTACAGTCACAGCATTTGAGGAACTGGCTTCATTCTTGTTCCCGCCCTCTGCACTTCAAGAGCCCTTTGTACCACAAGGCAAATGTGCTAATTAATAGGATTCCTCACAGTAAAAGTCAACCTAGACCCTGACTCCCCTGGGATGAGCATGCTGGTGGAAAACCCTGTAGTTGTTTAGAAATTCTGTTGACTAGGCTGCATGCAGAGGGGCTAGAAAGCAGGACATGGAGTCAGAGTGGCTTGGGTTCAAATCTAGCCTCAGACACATGCCCAAGTGGCCCAGGACTGTAAGGTATAGAACAAGCCCTGAGCTCCATGGAAAGGAGCTTCCTTGCCACAGAACTGGCTGCCCATCTACAGTCATGGAATCATAGGTCCAGGTCAAAGGACTGAGAAAAATGTTACTTCCTCAGGAATGCTTTTTTCTAAAGGAAAGGAAATCAATGTTGCTTTCATTCTCTACAGGTAGAGGAGGCACTAGGGGACCCCTTCTCCTGTGCTGTCTCCTGCTTCAATTTGACTGGACACCTGGCAGGAAGTGATCCTTCCTTAGGGAACTGAATGTAGGTGCTTCATCTGCACAGCCATGGCACCGCCCCCAGCAGGTCTGAATGGGGATGAATGGAAGGGTCTGGCTGAAGCCCA